GTGAGGGGGGGGGAGAGGAAAGAGAGCTGGGTGGTACCTTCCTATCTATCTCAGGCCTCCCTCAGATGCTCCTCTGCCTATCTCTTTTTGAATGACTATCAAGTAATACCGTAGGGCGTGGAGAGAGGGAACAGGTTTTTCACGTTTTGTTTTGGGACCAGGTCTCCTACACAGCCTAGGCCTTGAACTCCTGTCTTCCCGCCTCTGCCTTCCCGTCCTAGGATTTCAGGCCGCTTAGCGGCACTTCCACTAGAGAGCCGCTTTACAACCGAAGTGTTCCAGCCCTGCTGGACCACCGTGACCCTCAGCAATTACAGCCTGATACCACCCGCCAGCGGATCATCAGGGGAATTCAGAGAGTACAGTGCAGAGCTTTAGATCTTTGGGGGCGGGGAGGGGGAAGCTAAATTTCTTAAGATGGCACTGGCAACGTGATTGCCACCGTCACGCAGAGGCAGCAATGACACAGGGGCCAGTCCCTGTCAAGTCCCTCACACAGGACCGGCTTAACCTTGAGCAGCTGTGACCCAAGGCCAACAGCTGGGTCATAAATCACCGGTGACAGCGGCAAATCAGCTCAGCGTGATCTGCATTGCTCCTTGGGGTGGGGGTGGGGAACAGGCAAAAGCTCTGGACCCCGGCTCCTGCCCCAGCCAACATTACTCTTTGCGGTCAAGCCAGGGGTGGTTTTGCTTTTGGCTTTGAATCTTTGCTGTGAAAAACGCTTTCTTCAACAACCAGGTCTTTGTAGAGCAACAGAATGCTAAGGCTAGGCTAGGCTAGACGATGGTGCGCGCGGGTGGGGGGGGGAGGCGATTGCGATAGTCACTCCTTCACAAACTACGGGGTCAGGGAGGCCAGCAAGCCCTCTCCTATGTCCATCTGCCTCGTGCCCTCCTGAGAAAGCTCGTGTGAACCGGAAGCAACTAATCGGACAGAGCCCACTAATGCTCTAAACACACGCTCTGAGCTGGGAGCCCCAGCCCGGGCCAGCTAACTGGACTGTCACAGGCAGCAGTCTGCAGCAGCCAGGGAAACTGTAGCCTGAGGGTATATTCCCTTTACGACGCCAGTAGGCTGGATTTTTCTTTTATCAGTGGTTTCCAGGTCATTTGCTTTGGTTCTGCTGCTGGTAATGGCGTTTGTACAGGGAAAATGGAAGGAGAAGAATGTTTATAGTGTCAGTGATTGGGCTTTTGTCCGTAGATTCAAAAAGACAAACAAAGCAGGAAAGGGTGGAAAATCAAGGTACATAGGTGTCTGCACTCAGGCTGTGTGTGCCTGTGATCCCAGCCCTTGAGAGGTGGAGGCAGGAGGATCACAAGTTTAAGGTCACCCTTAGCTACAAGTGAGTTGAGGACAGCCTGAGCTCAAAAAAAAAAAAAAAAAAAAAAAAAAAAAAAAAA